ATTGATTGGTTGTTGATCCTGTGTTTGTGTGTAAGCTTTTCAAATCTGGCTATGGATAAGAAATCCACAGTATGACTAAATAATTGGACTGAATGTTTTGCAAATAAATTAGCTGGACAGAAACAGAGGTCACGTGGATATGCTTCTGTACAGTAAAACTCCACTGAAAACCACTGTGTGTGCTTGTAGAGACGACCTCTGTCTTTGATTGGCATCTGCTCAGAATTGAACCAATTAGAACTGTGCACAAAATTAAATTTCCTCAATCAAAACAGGTAATGGGTCAAATTCCCAGCTACATACTATCATAAAGGGATGCAAATCAATGTCTGATGACTTCTACATAGCATGGCTTGAAGGAGATTCTGTTCCCAGTTCCACCACTTTTCACTTAGGGACTTGACTTGAGTTCTGCCTGTCGTCGAGGCACGGCTGTTCACAAGAAGTGAAATGCTACTTACCTGCAGTCTTTGGTCATTCTGTGCTGCTTCTCTCCTCTGTTGAGGCTGCTAAATGAGTTGGTATTGCCTTAATGAAAGCAGTGAAAGTGTGGTTAATGCTGCTACACTCCATATTTAAAAACATGTTTTGAAATCAAAATGATTATCAGTAAAATATTCTCCTGTGGTTGTGGCTCTGATAACCAGTACAATGACTTAATTGTCATTCCTGTGCAGTGCTTGGGTCTCTGCCAGTTAATGACCCATTGCTGCAGTCTGCACAGGCAAATCACCCTTTCTGTCCCTCTCCCCAAGCTGATGGACTTTTGCCCAAGTAATGGCTGCAGGCTCCTATTCTCAGCTGGCACAGACCCCAGCATGACCATAAACATCCCTGAGAGGATCATAATATGATATATTGGACAGATTCTGATACGCCTTGCAGTAATATGCCACGAAGCAATTCTGCTGAAGTCAGTGACTTTGCCAGTGGCATAGCTGAAAGAAGAAACTGGTCCCTACACTGTTGCTTTCTCAAGTAATGAAGCACTTGCAGGCTCTCAGCTAGTCTGTCCCTTTAGATGATTCAAGTTTTTGTGAACCTTTTGTCAAACATTCAAAATAGTTTTATTTTTGTTCTGTTTTCAAATGGTTGCATGTCTCTTCCCCCACAGGATTTTCCATTCTTCAGGCGATTATGGAAGCAGCAGTACAGAACAACTGGCAAGTGACAGCCAGATCTGTAGGAAGCATAAAGGATGTTCAAGAGTTCAGAAGAATTATAGAGGAGATGGACAGACGGCAAGAAAAAAGATACTTAATTGACTGTGAAGTAGACAGAATCAACACCATTTTGGAACAGGTATATGCTTTTCAGAAACCGTGATCTCTCTGTGACAGACATCATTAATATTTCCAGAACTATCTATTTCTAGAAGTTAATTAAATACCCATTGAGATATGAGTCCCAACAACTGGCCAGTTACCCAGTAAAATTAAAATGCCACGGTGGTGCTCATAGTTGGTGACAGTACTTACATAGAACCTACCAGGACATGTCTCTGTGATATTTTTTCCCAAATGTTAATAATGAATTATTTTTAAGTAGGTTAGGAACCTAAAACCTCAGCTGCCAGAGTAACATTAGTGGCATCAGGGCTGCTTGTAGGGATTGCAAGACAGGTGCAGTTTGTTAAGTGGAACATGAAACAAGAAATAAAAAGGCAGTGAAGTATCATAGAATCATCTTAAAGAATTCCCCAAAGGAAATACTGCTGATGAAAAATTCAGCTGGTAGTCCAGACAACTCATTAGCACTTTTTGGTACATAAAGGCCTTCCCTCTGCACAGCCAGGGCTGTTGACAGGCTTAACTTGTGGATGATAGAGTCTAAACACCTTTATGGGTGAAGATGCATTTGGGGTGACTGTTTTACTACTGCATGGCCTTCCCTCTGTTTGCTTTTATGCTCTGGCCATCCCAAGGTGCTACCAGAATGCCTGTGGCACTAGTCATGCTGTGCAGTGTGGTTGAAGAGGTGTAGTTACAGATGCACATCATCAGGAGCAGACACAGGACAGTTCCTTGCTGTCTGGGTTTACAGCAAAGCTGGTGTTGGTGTGGAACCAAATCCATGCTGCTTGGTTATTCCTAGGCATATGGAAATTCACTTACATTAAGACTGAAAAACCCTCTGATTATTGCCACTTCATACATTTAACTGTGGATTTGCATTATAGAATAGGTCGCAAGTAGCACTGAAATTTCATGAAGCCCTAGCATATCTCTTGTGTATTGTAAACTGCTGACAAACTGACCTCACTGCCATAAACCCTGGGAAATGCAAAAGATTACATACACTGAATTCCTTCTCAAAGTACTCAGTTCCTATCAAGCCTTGAGGTATATCACTGGAGGTCAGTGTGTTGGGGCTGTATCACTGTAGTCACAGCCAGGTGCCATAGCTCCTGCTCACAAAGAAGGGAAATTGGTGCTCAAGGGAACATAGCACAAGCCAATGCTGGTCGGTAACTCTGACAGCTAGTGTGGTTGTGGTACTAGTACACAGCACTGCATTTTACAGTGTATTTTTAGTCAATATGGTGAGTGCTCTCTTTAGGGAAACTCATACTGTAAGGTGTAAGAAGCTTTTTTTGTTCTTTCATTTGCTCATGTTCTTACAAAAGATGCAAACCACCATACCTACCCACAGCCCACTCTTCTGAAAATGCTGCAGGAGAGAACTCCTGAGCCAAGCTTAAATAGCACTTTGGGCCCACTCTCAGATGAGAAACAGGCCTTTTGTTTGATCTGTCTAACTCCATTTACATTTGTTCTCTCTTTTTCTTCCCTCGTGCAAGTGAAAAAGATGATCAAACCATGCCAGTGCCTGAAATGAAAGCTATATACCAAGCAAACCATAAAGCAAAAAACTGATGACTCTTTTCTTCTACAACTGCTCTAAATTCAACTCTAGTGAAGTTGTAATTTTATTAAATGTATGATTCGGCTTTCTATCAATGTGATTAACGTCTGTGTAAGTAAAAATTTGCTAGTGGGGCTTCCGGTTTCCCCAAACTCTACAGTACACACTGGTGCCTCTGATGCTAAAAATATCTTCTGGCCACAATTTCCAGAGGATTTTTTATTGGATACTGAAAAGTAGTGACTTCAGTTTCTGCATAGAAAGTCAGTAATGGTGAGCCCTAGGTTGCTGGCTGAACAATTATTGGTTTGGGGCTTTTCCTTCAATCTCCTCTGCTTTCTTTATCTTCTCATAAAGTCATCAAAAGTTTTCACAAATCTGTGTGGTACTTAAATCCATCCATCCAGTTTGCCCAAGGGAGTAGAGAGTTGTCTTTTTTTAGCCAACTGTGTTTGCTGATAGCATACCATTGAGGAGAAAGATAACTCTGGATTTGCATATTTCAAATCTAGCATTTTATTGCAGTTTAAAACGTCAATTCTGTGCTATATGTGTAGTCTAGAAAGTCTGAGAGAGGCAGTAACATCTGAGCACGTTACAGCAGGCTCATGGACAATTGCGGGTGGGTTTGAAGAGCTTTTCCCCAGCAAGAGCAAAGGGAAGCCAAGACTCTCTACCTGTCTGTACTGTTATGTCAGAGTACTGATAGACAAACTCTGTCCTACAGAGGGTTGGCATAGGCTGCCTCAGCCCAGCTGCCCTTCTATCCCTCTCACTTCTTTTGGCCTCCTAGGAGCACATCTTCGAAGGTCAACCCTCCCATCACCTTCTGGGAGTGCTGCCTCCCTCCAGAGAGGGGGTTTATGTGGTCACTGTGGGGCTGTGTGGCACCAGTATTTCATTGTCTCAGGGACAGCAGCAGTGTTTGCCAGTGGATTCCAGAGGCTTAAATAGAACTTATTCAAGAACAAAAGTCATAGCAGAGACAAACAGACTGTAAACCACTAAACAGTCTACACACGTGCCGAGTTTGCTATCAGACTTTTGGGCTCTTGGCCAGGCCATTCGGCAAGCTTGTCAGTTCTCTGCTCCAGAAACCATGTATCATGGCTTTGTGTTAGTGCTTGGATTAAATAACAGTGACCTCCTTTCCTGTATCAGGCTGGTCAGTGTGTGCAGTTCTCTTCCTTTGACACTTTTTTCAACCGGTTCAGACCACGGTATACCTCTCTTTCAAAAGTTAAGGCTTATCTAAAGACAATTAAGTATCTAAGGAATTTTTTCAGACACTTCAGGTCATTCTGGAATATTATGTACCTTCCTCCAGCTATGTACAGACATGTGAGTCAGTGACCTCAAGTATTCCATGTGCTTTTAGCATCTAGCACATCTGTATGTCCCTATGTTGCCAGGATCTGTAACTTGTCATATGAAGTATTTCTCTTCTCAGGGCTGGCTAGTGCCCACCTGTAAGGGTAAGGGAAAAAGGGCACCTCAACTCCTACTCTGAGTAACCTGGTTTGTGCCAAATTTCACTCTGGAGGTGCATCTGTTTTCATTCCCCATTCATATTTCGTGATGGGCCTTATATTTTGTCCTAGAGGTAGAACCTCTTCAACTGCAGAGTAAGGGGAAGCAGAGAGATTAATAGTTACTCTGTAAGTTGCCATCTGTTTGTTCACTTGCCCGATAGTTCTATCGCCACTGAGCATGTGGATCTATACCCTTCCTTGCACAACAAAACTATATCCAATTTAATCATCTAGTGGCCTCTCAAGCATACAGATAGCAACACTTATGTCATGCAAAATTCATAAGCTCCCCACACTTCTTGTCCCTTGTTGCTAAAATATTCTGTATTCCTTCACAGATAGATATAAAATTTTGTTCTCATAAACAGAAGAACATTTCCTTCTGAGAGCTAACAGTAAGCTTTAGCCTCTTCAACCGTGTATTTAGAGACATGTTTTTGAGTTAAGAAATATGTTTTTCTTATTCCCAGGATAACAGGCTGTATTTCAGAGTAGAGTGGCTTTATGTCCATTTAGAAGAAAATCTCCTGGGGGAAAATGAGGAGAAAGAATCTCCATTCAGGATCAAAATGGTGAAACTTTACAAAAGACCTGTTTATTCCAGAGACTGCATGCTTTTATCAAAAGGACACTATCTCCAAACGTAGTCTTAAAGGTTAGGCTTCAAGGCAATGTGTGCATTGAGAGGAGGCATCTCACAAAGCAGAAGCAATATTACAGTAGAGAATGCAGTCCCCAAAGTTTTACAATGACAGCCAGTCTGTCAAAGACGACTTAAAGTGAAGCATCCGTAGGATTAAGAAGGGTAATCTGATTGACTGAACTCTGTCCTGTGCAAGCACTGCTTATGACTTGACCTTCAAGTCTGAAATTTTGAGATTAGGAAGATGGTCTGCAGGTTCTCAGCAGAGCCACAACTGCATCTCTCTGCAGAGCTGCTCAGGTCTCAGAGGAATGTGCTCACTGCACAGCAGCTATCACATTTAGGGTGTCATAAGAATAAACACAAAGCTGCAGTATTTGATTGACCAGTTGTCATTAAAAATAACAACAATAAGGAAAAATGTGATTGGAAAAAATCCACACTGCTGCCATGTAAGCTCCCTGGTTTATGCGTTCCATTATGAACAGTCTGGTGGGCTTTGCCTGCATTCTCTGTAGCAATTTAAACTGTAACTGCCTGCAAACACAGTGGGACACCTGAAGCAGGAGCAGAGCTATGGGGTAGCTTCAGCTTCTGGTTTGCTCATGAACCCCAGCAATGCCACATCCTCTGAAGGCACCACGCTGCATGGCGCACACCCTCCAAAGCAGTGTGTCCCTGACACCTTCTCCAGGGCTTTGTGCCACAGCCATGTCACATTCTGGTTTTATCCTCTGTCTGGAGCTGTGTAGAGCAGAGGAGGAGGTTCAGCTGAGGTTCCAAGAGAGTATCTGCTATGTACAGTGTTGTGTAACATCACTCAGAAACTGGTACAGTTCATTTTTTACATTTCAAATGAACTAGAAACTTAAAATTTAGGACATTTCTTCATTAGGTGCCCATGAGTATTGTTGAAACCAGGATCTAAAGCAGAATGAAAGGTCACTTTCCCTTCACATCCAGAGAGTTTCAGCAGCTCACAAGTCCATATAGGCATGTGGCGAGGAAAGGGGAATTACTTAGGTCAGTCACCCTCAGGACTGTAGCTAGCAGAAGGGTAAGTAAAAAATGGGCATATGTCAAAAGTGACAGCTGTATCTGCCTTAAAGGGCCTGCTCCTGTCAGCTGTGAAACTCATAAAGGGCAGGAGATGGATTGCTAAAGCAGAGAGAAGTAACATCTTGGGTTAATCTGCCCCACAAATAGCACATTTCACACATACCTGAGGAGGGAATTTCTAGCTTGTAAATAGGAATATCTCT